CCACTCACCCACCCCCACCACCCGGACCTTCAACAGGTATGTGATACATACATATTACTCTAAGGTTAGATGTACCAATACATATGATAAACATGTATTTGTAAAACTTTTTCTATATATAGAGCCAAATCTGAAATTAAGTCGGTGAAAATAGAAAAAATCAAAAGAAATAACGGAATTAATTGAAAAAGCTTGATCAACCAAACCCCAAATCCGATACACAAATTGTTCTACATAAAATTCATGGTGGCAACAAAACAGCAAATCATTTCAACGAGATTGTTACTACTGCATCCAAGCTTGTAGACTAACTTTCTAATGGTAACGGTCTACACTCGGCTGCATCCAACCTTGTACAATTGTTTTACTTACAAAGGAAAAAGAACGATAATATCTTTTTATTTCAAACATGTTTCTGAAATTTTTAGTAAAAGTACTAGTTTCGATGGCATTAACACTATTAAAAGTCCTGGTTTAGATGACATTAACACTAGTAAAAGTACTGGTTTAGATGACATTAACACTAGTAAAAGTATTGGTATAGATGACATTAACACTAGTAAAAGTATTGGTTTAGATGACATTAACACTAGTAAAAGTACTGGTTTACACGGCATTAACACTAGTAAAAGTACTGGTTTAGATGGCATTACCACTAGTAAAAGTACTGGTTTAGATGGCATTAACACTAGTAAAAGTACTGGTTTACATGGCATTAACACTAGTAAAAGTACTGATTTACATGGCATTAACACTAGTAAAAGTACTGGTTTACATGGCATTAACACTAGTAAAAGTACTGATTTACATGGCATTAACACTAGTAAAAGTACTGGTTTACATGGCATTAACACTAGTAAAAGTACTGATTTACATGGCATTAACACTAGTAAAAGTACTGGTTTACATGGCATTAACACTAGTAAAAGTACTGATTTACATGGCATTAACACTAGTAAAAGTACTGGTTTACATGGCATTAACACTAGTAAAAGTACTGATTTACATGGCATTAACACTAGTAAAAGTGCTGGTTTACATGGCATTAACACTAGTAAAAGTACTGATTTACATGGCATTAACACTAGTAAAAGTATTGGTTTAGATGACATTAACACTAGTAAAAGTACTGGTTTACACGGCATTAACACTAGTAAAAGTACTGGTTTAGATGGCATTACCACTGGTAAAAGTACTGATTTACATGGCATTAACACTAGTAAAAGTACTGATTTACATGGCATTAACACTAGTAAAAGTACTGGTTTAGATGACATTAACACTAGCAACAGTACTGGTTTAGATGGCATTAACACTAGTAAAAGTACTGGTTTACATGGCATTAACACTAGTAAAAGTACTGATTTAGATGCCATTAACACTAGTAAAAGTACTGGTTTAGATGGCATTAACGCTAGTAAAAGTACTGGTTTAGATGACATTAACACTAGTAAAAGTACTGGTTTAGATGGCATTCCAGCTCAGTTCCTGGTAAATTAAAAATGGGTTATTTTAATCCACTTTTTAAGAAAAATGACAAACGAAAGGCTGAAAATTACAGACATGTAAGTTTACTCAGTATTGTTTCCAAAGTTTTAGAAAAAAGCTTTTGATACGTGAGGCACGGTAGTCTAGCGGTAGGTCGCCGGGCTCGTGACCGAAGGGTCGCAGGTTCGAGTCACAGCACGGCTCTGTGTTGTATCTTTGAGCAAGATGCTTTACTCCGCTTGTTCCAGTCTACTCAGCTGTAAATGAGTACGTGGTCGGGCAGTGCTAGAATTGTTGAATGCTAACTGTTAGTCAGGCGTCCTCCAATTGATTTAACAACACACAGACGTTCCGATGATAAACAAGTAAATTTCATTTCATTTCGTCTGTTTTCATTGAATCCTCCATATTTTCGAAAATCAACTGCTTGTCAGATAATCACAAGAAGCAGGAACTATGGGAACATCTATTAGAAATTCATGTTGTTGATGCAAAAAAAACAAAAAAGTAAATATTTCTTGACCCAAATAACCTTTTTTTTTAAATTTAGGACTCATTTTGAGTTCATTTTCAAAATTATCTAATGCACACATTGAGCATTGTGACTTTAACAACACAAAAGACAAATTTTAAAACTGAACAGAAAACACCATTATCAGAGACGTATACATTACGTCTCTGCCATTATGTAGGACAAGTTTGTGTATAAATGTCTTCCTGTAGGAGCTATAAGATAATTAGGTCTCAGGAAAATACAAAAAGAAATCTTAATGATTTTGAAATATTTCTTAGAACGTTTTTCAAGTAATATTTGTAAAACCATTATAATTGTTTGCTATGTATATAGACCTGCAGTATCCCACTCATGTGTATCGTAATTGGCGACACTAATGTGGCCCTGTGGGGTTTCGTCTGCGTTCTCTCAGGCCCCTGTGACCGGGCTAACTTGGGGTACCTATATGTGGCCCTGTGGGGTTTCGTCTTCGTTCTCTCAGGCCCCTGTGACCGGGCTAACTTGGGGTACCTATATGTGGACCGACCATAAAAAGAAGACATATTCAAATATACGCATGTTATGTATTAGAGAATTGCGTGGAGGACAACAAGCAACGACAAAACACGTGTTCCTTTCCTTCTTCAATTTTTATCCGGAAAAACAGAAAGACACACTAAACAAGGAACCAACATGAACATACAGTACGGATTTACGATTTACTTAAATACAAAACGGCAATTTCCGGATATTCCTTAATGGTTCTAACACCCACACGGATAAATTCACAGGCCCCTGTCACCGGGCTAACTTGTGGTACCTATATGATCCAAACATACCAACAAGGATAATTTCACATGCCCCTGTGACCGGAATAATTAAAGGTACTTATTATCATGACAAAAAAGTGTAAAACTAGCAAATTAGACTTAACTAGCACAGTATCATGATAACATTTTTAGTTATGTTTCGATGGTTAAAGGGACACACCTCAAGTACAAATCAATATCAAAAAGATCTGTCGTTTTGGCCTAACGCCAGGAATCCGGGACATTATACCGTCTGCAGGTAAAATCACGTGGTATACCCGTAACAAGGAAGTGTACAGTTAAAGTTGTACCTTCACAATAACAAAATGGTGGCAATTCACAGTTTGTAGGCAAATTATTCCTTCAACTCACTAAATTACCAACACCATGGCAAGTAACAGATCCGTGCGGCGTGCCCAGGAACCCGTTACCTACACGTGTGCTTTGTGTGACACTGAAAACGAGGTACGATGGTATTGTAACGACTGTCAGGAGAATTTATGTGACCGGTGTAAGGAAGCCCATACACGCGGAAAGAAAACAAAAAACGATGACGTCGTATTGATAGGGAAGGCTAACCGTCAGGGTGACAAGCTTGTACCAGCGGTATGTAAACTACATCCCGGTAAACTGTGTGATCTCTTCTGTTCGGACTGCAACGAGTTGCTTTGTTCGATATGTATATCTAAAACTCACAAACACCACAACTGGAAACCTTTCGAAGACGAATTTTCTTCTAAAAAGCAACATTTGAAAGAACATATGACAGCAATTTCTGCTAAAATAGAACATTTCAAGAACGAGACATCAGAGCGACATAATGATAACGAAGGGTTCAATGGCAGCATTGATACAGTGAGGAAAGAAGTGAACTATAAAAGGACAAAGTTAAAGGCGGAAGTAGATTATATCGCTGATGCAATACTCGCTGAATTATCGGCTTTAGAAAAAGAAGAATCAACATTGCACAAGAAAGATTGTCAACGATCAGAGAAAAACGTAGAAGAACTGATGCATCTGCTTAACGAAGCGGAAATGACAGATACATCAAGCGTATCCTTGTTTGAAACAGAAAGGTCATTGAGGACAAAGCTGCCACTGTATGACGTTAATGTGAGATATGTTTCACCAAAACCACTAAGGTTTGTTACCGAAAGTATCGACCGTGTCATGTTGACAAAAACGTTTGGTAAATTACACCATGAGAACCAGTACGAAAAGATAGACATCGACAGTAAACACGTTCAACGTCTCTCTAAGTTTACTGTTACTCCACAAAATATAATAAACAATGTATGTCCAGTTGACGACAGTCACGCGTGGTTGTCAATGTACCAATACCAGGGTCTGGTACTGGTCAACAAGAAGGGTGTGGTCATAGAGACAGTACAATTGGACTTCTGTCCGTCCAATATCACCATGGTCGGGACAACCGACATACTTATGACCAGTAATCCACGTAGTACATTTGTATATAAACTATCACTACACAACAAACAAGTGACAACATTTGCTGACATCAGACCACATGACGCATGTGACGTCAGTATCAACGAGAGGGGCGAGGTGTTTGTTATTACACATACACCAGACATAGTGGTACTGGATCATTCAGGTACGATTATAAGGAAGGTCACGACTCGATCAAAAACTATAGGTTACGTTGTTTCCTTGTCATCGGGACGTCTGTGTGTAGTTCAAGCAATTGGAGTAAGTTCGACTGATAGGAACATATTGATAACAGACGAGTCAGGTGCCGTCATACAGACATGGACTGGTGAACTCGACAACGGTCAAAAGGTCGGTAGTATGAACCTCAGGAAAATGTCATGTGATAAGTACGATAGAGTCTTTGTACCAGATAACCATAACAGTCAGGTGTACGTCCTACCGAGAGACGGTAAACAAGCTATGTGTCTCCTGGACCGGACACATGGAGTGGTGAAACCTGCAGCGGTGGGTGTGGACACGTGTGGTAACGTGTGGATCGGGTGTGAGGACGGCACCGTACACGTGATGGACTGTAACATGAGGAAATAATGATATACGGTACATATGTGCTCGTGGTACTATAATATATTGTAGATCACCGATGTATGAAGTCTGAAGTATCCTCGAATAAGAAATTATATGGAGCTGTATCCAAGATTTTTTTGTGTATGTGTGTGTTTTTATTTGTTTAGCTTTTTTTCATTTGGATTAATTTCATTTCATCTTTTGAGAGATAGATATATTGAAAGTGAGAGAAATTAATTGAGAAAGAGAACAATTTAGATGACGGAGTGGGAAACAAACACAATATCAATACTTTTGAGTGTTATGTTTAAAATATACCTTAATAACCTAAACCTCCATACATCATATTAAATGGCTTTGGATAAGAGCATATTTTTAGGCAAACAAATTATTATAGTTTATTTCCGGTTACCTACCCCAATATTTTGTGCCTACGCTTAAATCTTTTTTATTGTATTGTTTTTTTTACAAATTTCAAGGAAGCACTGTTAAAGTAAAAATAACTCTTCTTAATAAATCTTTTTTTAAATGAAATATGAATCTAATAACCTTCCCTAAATTTTCAGACATGTAACAGGAAATAGACATCTTTTAGGCCTTTCTCTGTTCATGTATGATATATCAACTATAATGAATATTAAACAACTGTTAATTAAAGTGTGTAAACTACATCCCGGTAAACTGTGTGATCTCTTCTGCTCGGACTGCAACGAGTTGCTTTGTGGGATATGTTTATCTAAAACTCATAAACACCACAACTGGAAACCTTTCGAAGACGAATTATCTTTTAAAAAGAAACATTTGAAAGAGCATATGACAGCAATTTCTACAAAAATAGAACATTTCAAGAAGGAGACATCAGAGCGACTACGTGTTAATGAATGGTTCAATGACAACATTGATACAGTGAGGAAAGAAGTGAACTCTAAAAGGACAAAGTTAAAGGCAGAAGTAGATTCTATCGCTGATGCAATTCTCGCCGAATTATCGGCTTTAGAAAAGGAAGAATCAACAATACAAAAAAAGATTGTCAACGATCAGAGAAAAAAGTCGAAGAACTCGCGCGTCTGCTTAACGAAGCGGAAATGACAGATACATCAAGCGTATCCTTATTTGAAACGGAAAGGTCACTGAGGACAAAGCTGCCCCTGTATGACGTTAATGTGAGATATCTTTCACCAAAACAACCAAGGTTTATTACCGAAAGTATCGACCGTGTCATGTTGACGAAAATGTGTGGTAAATTACACCACGAGAACCAGTACGAGAAGATAGACATCGACAGTAAACACATTCAACGTCTCTCTCAGTTTACTGTTGCTCAACAAAATCAAATATTCGGTATGTAACAGGGTGTACTCATTGCACTAAGTCACACAGTGTCCACGTGTTGTCTATCCCGTACTCGTGTCATAACCTGAACGTGGAGTGTTGTGAGAGAGTGATCTGCACGAGTATTTACATACTCACGCCACCCCGTGTGTCCTATATGTACGCGCACGTCACCACCCTGATTCACTTCACACTATGCTGCCGAGCAGGACGACAGTGTATATCCTTCCCAGGTTCCTGGTAAGTCTCATAATATATTTTACTCATAGTGTTTATTCATGTAATGATATAACAATACCTGTGATAATATATATGTAGTCATGTCAATCGTATTCGTAAAGTGAAAGTAACTGTATATGTATATTGTAACTGAGTCTTAGTTTCGTATCTTTTTGTTAACAGGTTTCTTTGGAGAGAATAAATACAAGAGACCTTGAAAAGTCGTCAAAGTTGTTCTTACCCAGCCTTTGGGGCTAAGAGGGTTACAAATGGCGCCCACGTAAAAGTATAACTTTCCAGAAACCAGGGGCTTGATATTCTTGAAGGCGCAAGGACCGGAAGCTGGGGACGGTTTCCGGTGGCTAGCTTACGCGACCCACTAGTCACATTTATAGTACAGCTGTATCTGAATTGGAGACGGGAGTGGACACGGTGTGTGGAGAGTCTTGGGCGATGCGGGACATCGCTGAAGGGATATACAAGGCGGAGAGATGGAGACGGGAGACGGACTCCAATGTGATCGGTGAAGAACCGACGCAAGTGTGTTCTCAACGGACTTGTGTAGGATCTGTCATTCTGTGTTGACATTTATCTCGTTGTCGCTGGGCACTCCAGATTTGTGTTTTGTGCTGCTGTTTTGATATTTTCATGAACTGTGACTCTATGATGATCGTGTATGTTACGTGTAGATAGTGATGTAAATATGTACAACAGGATGTTTTTGATAGCCAGGGGCCTGTGAAGGACACCTGTAGAGCGGTGGGTTTGTATAGACATCCTCCCCCATCATTCATCATCCTTTAATGTTGTATGCACGCTGTCTTTCCCGCCACCAGAATGGAAGGTAAGGTATAAATGTGATGTTTTATGTCAATGTCGAACATATTGTTGATTTTATGCATGAGTACACCAGGGTTTGGGATACCAAATTAAGTTTAGATAATAGAGTTCATTCTCTCTAGGTATTTTGCCAATTTATTGTGCAGAATTATACTTGTAGTTTCGCTGTATACACATATTATTTTTCCTTATGGTATAAATGAGTGCTAGTAAACTTAGAAAGTTTATTGGGAAACCTATTTTGGCACCTGGACCACAAGCACTTAAATTCCAACCAGTTTTGTTAACTAGCAGTAAAGGGTATTCCTTGAAGCACCATTTTGATATTATTGAGGATTTAGGCTATCAAATTGAATTTCATTGTAGAGCAGGAGCTCGATTTGATCAGACTTATTTTTGGCTTACAAAACATCTGTCTGAAATTATTAAAAAGAATGGTCCTATTGTATTGTACATTTGGCTAGGTACTTGTGATATCACTACAAAGAGTGGTCCTTTTATTAATTTAAGTCACAATACTGATGAGGAGTGTTTTGGTTATTTGAAATGTTATATTGACAAATTTGTGTCTTATGTTTCAAAATTTGCGTCTGTAAAACTAATATTTTTGGAAATTCCACCTTATTCCATCCAAGTTTGGAACTCCTACAAAGGCCATGTGAATCCTGAGTCATTTGCGAAACAAGATATTATCTTGGATAACAGGATTGAGAGTTTGAACAATTATATTCGAGAAGTTAATTCCAAGTCCGGTGTAAACTCGCTTAATTTTAGGTGTGATTTGCTCCAGTATAAACGAGCAGGTCGCAAACCTATTATCAACTTCTCTCTGTACAAAGATGGCATACATCCAAGTCCTGTGTTAGCTAGATGTTGGATGAAGCGACTAGTCACTAAAGCATTGCATGATTGTTGTTAGGAATTATATTTGTAGTATAGCTGCAGGTGGACCATTTTTAAGTCCAGTGAATACACTTGTAGGTAGGGGGCTCCCCAACCACGGTGATTTATTGGATTCCTGCAAGCTTAGTCTATATTTGACTGAGGAATACTATTGGTGTTAATAGTGTATTAATATCTTGAATTAGTGACTGTTGCTTTATATATATTGTCTTACAAATGAAAACAGAGAGTTGGTGTTATAGATCATTTATATTTTAGATACTAGCTTACAAATTGATAACCTCTTTAAGATATGGCATCCGGTGGAGCACCTGCTAAAGAGCAGGTAGAAGATCAGGTTAAGGAAGAGGGGGAATCGGGGTCGGAGAGTAAGCTCAATATGAGTGAGGACCAGCTGATTGAGGCTTTGGGTAAGCTAGGGAAATACAGGATAATTCCTGTAAATGAGGAGGAGGAACCTCCGGTTCCCAGGGCTGAAAGCACTCCCAAGCGATCATTGAGATTTGTGGGAACTAGCCAGTCTTATCCACCCGATGACCCTAGCCATAATGTAACAAACGTATACAGCAACCCACACCATATCCCTAAGGTGCCCCAGTTTTCCGGGGAGGAGCCACCTTTAAAAGGGGATGTGTCTTATGCTGAGTGGCGGTTTGAGATAAGATGCTTGGGTGAAGATCCTGAGATTTCAAACAGTACCCTGGTGCAGGCTATGAGGAGGTCACTCCGTGGCATTGCAAGGAGAATGCTAATCCCTCTAGGGGACAAGGCTACATCAAGGGAAATCTTATACAAGCTTGATTCTTTGTTTGGGGACATTTCTACACATGGAATGTTAATGCAGGAATTTTTCAATTCTTCGCAGAAACCAAATGAATCCGCCACCGCATTTGGCTGTAGACTAGAGTCGTTGCTACAACCAGCATTGGAAAATGGCTCTCTCCATAAGTCGTCAAAAAATGACCTGATGCGACACAAGTTCTGGACATCCCTTAGTTCTGACAAACTAAAGAGTCAGACTCGTCATAAATATGACACCTTGACAGGCTACAGTGAGCTATTAAGGGAAATCCGGGTGGTAGAGAAGGAGTTAAGTTTAACTTTCTCTACTGGTACAGCTACAGGGGCTAGTCAAACGAAAAAGGGACACCAGCATGTAGTTAATGCTGAATCTGAGCAACAGGTTGCAGCTGTAGGGGACATAGAAAAAAAATTTGACCAGAAGTTAAAAAGCCTAGAGGAAAAACTTAGTTCTCAGATAGAGGGTAAGTTTGATAAAATCTTGGACAAACTTGGTAATCGATCCTCGGGTAACAGTCAGAGGTCGGGTCAAGATAGTCAGAGGTCAGGTCAAAACAACAAAGGTCGGGGCCGAGGTGGATATAATAGGTCCCGGGGAAATTGGCACAACAATAAGGATAAGGCCAAGGATGTGAGGAACTCCCCAAACGAGTAGCAGTCTCTGCTAGCGGCCAATCAGAGACTGAACTTATGTCAAAAGGCCAAGGTCATGGAATTTTAGATAGACTGTTAGGGGTATCTAATGAAAGTAAGATTTTTGTTGAAGGTCAAAAGGTCAAAGCACTGATAGACAGTGGATCTATGGTTTCAACCATATCGAAAACATGCTATGAAAATCTTCTAGATACACCCCAACTTCAAGAATTGAACACTCTAGGATTAGAGATAACAGTAGCTAATGGTTCTACTTTGAATTACTTAGGCTATATAGAGTGTAAGGTTGAGATCCCTTTCATGGCAGAAAATAGTTTTAATATTCTTATGCTGGTTGTACCCGATACTGACTATAACAGTACTTGCCCTGTTATCCTAGGCACCAATGTTATCCGCCTAGTCAAGGGGGCGACATTGGAAGGATCTGTAGTACCACAAGAATGGAGAGCTTCAGTAGATAGTGTCTCCTGCGCATATGCAGTGAGATTGTTGAGTAAAAAACCTGTTACAGTTGCTCCCTATGCCACCATTGTTCTAAATGGAATCGCCAGGGGTTTAGACCCCGACATAACTGATCTAGTCACAGAGAACCAGGACAATTCTGCTGTCCGGTATACAGTTTGCCCTCGTGTGATTAAAGTGAAACAGAATGCGTCATGTGTAAAAGTACCAGTGAAGCTGTGTAATATTTCAGCTAAACCTGTGGTTATTCAACCGCGTTCATTAATCTGTACTGTTAACCAGGTCAAGGTAATAGATAACTTAGCTTCTGATCTCCCTACGGTAAATGAGAATTTATCTTTACCTGAGGAACTTGGTGTACATATTGACAGGACTAATCTCACAGAGGCACAACTGTTGCGGGTTCGACAAGTGTTGGGTAACTGGACACAAGCATTTTCCACAAGTCAATTTGACTTGGGAAACACTAACATTGTGAAACATAAGATTGACCTCCTTGACGAAAGGCCATTTAAACAGCCTTATCGCAAGATACCACCCGGTATGTATGAGGAAGTTCGTCAGCATGTTAAGGAAATGCTTGAGGCCGGCGTGATACGCGAATCTAATAGTCCTTTCTCTTCAAATGTCGTACTTGTACGAAAAAAAGATGGAAGCCTAAGATTCTGCATCGACTACAGAATGTTGAATTCACGTACAAGAAAAGATGCGTACATGCTTCCTCGCTTTGATGACACGGTGGATACCTTAAATGGTTCCCGTTATTTCACAAAGTTAGACCTAAGGTCAGGATACTGGCAGGTTGAAGTTGAGGAGTCCGATAAGGAGAAAACTGCGTTCTCTGTTGGTAACCTGGGATTCTGGGAAACCAACCGAATGGGTTTTGGACTGACATGTGCGCCAGCAACTTTCCAGCGCTTGATGGAAAAGTGTATGGGAGATATGCATCTGAGGGAATGTCTTATATTTCTGGATGACATCCTAATCTTTTCTAGGACCTTTGATGAACACTTAGACAGACTAGAGTCAGTATTTGCCAGACTCGTCCAACATGGCTTGAAACTCAAACCGTCCAAATGCGAGTTCCTCAAATCTTCAGTCACATATCTCGGTCATGTTGTATCAGAAAAAGGTATAGCTACAGATCCAGAAAAAACCTCTGCGGTCAAAACTTGGCCCGAGCCCAAAAATTTAAAGGGGCTGCGTCAGTTCTTGGGTTTTAGTGGGTATTATCGGCGGTTTGTAAAAGACTACGCCAAGATAGTACAACCACTTAACAAGCTTTTACAGGGTCATGACTTGTCGAAAAAGGCTACTAGGTCTGACAAGGCTAGTAAGTCTAAGAAAACAAAGTCTAAACGCACGCAAAAAGCTGAATGGATCTGGGGTGAAGCTCAGCAAAACGCGTTTGACACTGTAAAGGAAAGACTGATCAGTCCTCCCGTGCTTGCGTATGCGGACTATTCTAAACCCTTTATACTGCATGTTGATGCTAGTGGTACTGGTTTGGGTGGAGTACTCTACCAGAATCACGAGGGTAAGGAAAAGGTCATCGCATATGCGAGTCGAGGGCTCAGACCAAGTGAGCGCAACTACCCAGCTCATAAGCTTGAGTTTCTAGCGCTGAAATGGGCGGTTACTGACAAGTATCATGATTACCTCTATGGTAATACGTTCGAGGTTGTCACAGACAATAACCCCCTCACGTATGTGCTAGCTAAAGCTAAGCTGGATGCCACCAGCCATAGGTGGGTTGCTGCTCTAGCAAATTACAATTTCACATTGACATACCGAGCTGGGAAAAACAATGCCGATGCAGATGGTCTCTCCCGCATATCTTTCTGTAATTCTGATGTTGTCAAGGCAGTATGCCAGTCTGCAACTATTGTAGCTCCACTGATTGATAGTGTTACGAATCATATTGAATGGTTTTCTCATGTGGCCAGTGAGAATGTACATTCAGATGATTGTTTGAGCACAATAGATTGGCAAAAACAGCAAAAGGAGGATAAAGAAATTGCCAGGGTTATAGACCTCAAGAGAACCGGTTTCCATCCCAGGGGGAATAACCGAAAGAATGAGTCCCCATATGTTCAAAAATTTATGAGGACATGGAACAGGTTCAGTCTACATGATGGGGTACTATACAGAACCGCTTCTCTGGATGGTCATGAAGTGAAACAACTGGTGCTACCAAAGCAGTATCATGCCTTAGCCCTGAAAGGGGTCCATGACGATGTAGGTCATCAAGGCAAGGAAAAAACTCTTTGGTTGGCTAGACAGAGGTTCTACTGGCCAGGTATGGAGAAAGATGTAGACAACAGAGTTGAGAACTGTGGACGGTGCGTAAGACGTAAAACGCCGGTGATGCCACAAGCTGAACTGGTACCAATCCATTCCACTAGACCCATGGAGTTAGTCTGTATTGACTTTCTCAGCTTGGAGCCCTCCAATGGTGGTTATGAGAATATTCTGGTGATTACTGATCATTTTACCAGGTACGCTCAGGCGGTGCCCTGTCGAAATCAGGCGGCACACGCAACTGCTAAGGCATTTTATGAGCACTTCATAATCTTTACAGTTTCCCTGAACGTCTCCATAGTGATCAGGGTCGTAATTTTGAAAGCAAAGTCATTAAGGAGCTCTGTAAGATCGCAAGGGTTCAAAAGACCAGAACCACACCCTACCATCCCATGGGGAATGGGTCGGCGGAACGCTTCAACCGCACACTCCTTGGTATGCTTGCAACCCTGGAGGAGGATCAGTAAGTGGATTGGAAGTCATATGTAGCGCCATTAGTCCAAGCCTATAATGCCTCAAAGAGTGATGCCACCGGATTTTCACCACATTTTTTAATGTTCGGTTGGCATCCTCGCCTGTCTGTTGACGCTTTCCTCGGAACAGACCCTTGTGAACAAGGGGCGGCAGACCATACCTCGTACGTCAGTAAGCTAAGAGAAAGGATGAAATATGCCTACAAGGTTGCTGGTACAGAGGCTGCTAAAGTTTCTGCTCGCAATAAGAATCGCTATGACAGGTCAGTCCGTGAGACAAAACTAGAAATAGGGGACCGTGTCCTAGTAAGGAAGGTCGGTCTGAAGGGGAAGAACAAGTTGGCGGATAAGTGGGAACAGGAACCCTATCTGGTTATTAATATACCCAATAGTGATATTCCTGTATATGAAGTGCAACAGGAAATGGGAAAGGGACGTAAACGGACCTTACACCGGAATATGTTGATATACTTCAATTCTATACCCCTAGAAGTTCCCACTATGGAGCCTCGCTGTAAAGTGAAGTCATCCAAGCCAATCCCTTCTGCTCACGGTGATCATTCATCAGGGTCAGAGGACTCCTCAGAGTCCGATACTGATGATGAGCCTGTAAAGCTCCTGCGAAGTTCCAGGAAAAGACCTTTGAGAAATACCCCGGATAATCTCACCACTACTGCTCTGGAGCCAGTGTCTGCCATAGCTATTGAAGCTACACCCCATGAGGCAACAGTGGTGGAACCTGAATTTTTAAACTCAGAAAATGTGAGTAATGTCAGGGACCAAACAAGCCAAACCGTAGGTGATTATGAGGGTAACTCCCACAGGGAACCACCACAAGGGCCACCCATTTTACGACAATCCACACGGACGTGTAAACAACCAGATCGGTATGGTCAGTGGGTATTCTCTCAACAGGTTGGGCAAACGAGATCTGGTGAAATTTTTGTATGAATTATAAAATGTTAACACCGAATGTGATAGTTTTTATCCAGATTTTACTCAGTTGTCATTTTACATAATTATGTTTGCATGTTGCAAATGGCTCTGCATTTACAATCTCCTGGAGTAGGTAGGGGGTCCCCCAACCACTTTGGCTGTGTCACAGTTAGGAGTTTGCTATATATATTTGCCATGGTTTTATCGCTCTACGATACTATTTTATTAATAGTGGTTATCCCTGATAATGACCATATCTTTTGACTTTGAGCCTTTCCTGTGGTAAGCTTAGGGATGGTGAGTAAAGCTGTAGATGGAATTGTTGAATAATTATTCCCTTATGGATAAACTCAACCAGCTTGCAGAATTGGAACTCCTCCATAAATCTCCTTGTCTTTTGTGAAAAATGGCAAGTAATTATATTTCATATATAAAGAGTGCCTAGTATAGGTACCAGTAGAGTATATGCACACCTATAACTTCATTGTTACTAGTGCAATGTTGTAATTGGAATACACTTGTATAATCATACGTATAAGGTATAGTATGTTATTGTGTAAATCTTATGGTGTAACCAGTTCAATTAATTTAAAAGACTGGGTACATCTTGGGAATGTCAGGTGTCATTCATCAAAGTGGGGAAGTATGTAACAGGGTGTACTCATTGCACTAAGTCACACAGTGTCCACGTGTTGTCTATCCCGTACTCGTGTCATAACCTGAACGTGGAGTGTTGTGAGAGAGTGATCTGCACGAGTATTTACATACTCACGCCACCCCGTGTGTCCTATATGTACGCGCACGTCACCACCCTGATTCACTTCACACTATGCTGCCGAGCAGGACGGACAGTGTATATCCTTCCCAGGTCCCTGGTAAGTCTCATAATATATTTTACTCATAGTGTTTATTCATGTAATGATATAACAATACCTGTGATAATATATATGTAGTCATGTCCATCGTATTCGTAAAGTGAAAGTAACTGTATATGTATATTGTAACTGAGTCTTAGTTTCGTATCTTTTTGTTAACAGGTTTCTTTGGAGAGAATAAATACAAGAGACCTTGAAAAGTCGTCAAAGTTGTTCTTACCCAGCCTTTGGGGCTAAGAGGGTTACAGGTATATGTCCAGTCGACGACAGTCACGCGTGGTTATCAATAAAACAATACAAGGGCCTGGTACTGGTTAACAAGGAGGGTGTGGTCACAGAGACAGTAAAACTGGTCTTCTGTCCAGACATGATCACCATGGTCGGGACAACAGACATACTTTTGACCAGTCTTCAAGTTAATTCATTTGTATATAAACTGTCACTACACAACAAACAAGTGACAACATTTGCTGAGACCACATAAGACATGGGACGTCAGTATCAACGAGAGTGGCGAGGTGATTATTACTACAGGTACACCAGACATAGTGGTACTGAATCAGTCAGGTACGATTGTGAGGAAGGTCACGATAGGATCAGAAAGAATAGTGTTCGTTGTCTGCTTGTCATCGGGACGTCTGTGTGTAGTTCAAACAATTGGAGGAAAGTCGGCTGATAAGAATATAAAGATAACAGACGAGTCAGGTACCGTCATACAGACATGGACTGGTGAACTCGACAACGGTCAAAAGGTCGGTAGTATGGACCTCGGTAAGATGTCGTGTGATAAGTACGATAGAATCTTTGTACCAGATTACAAGAACAGTCAGGTGTACGTCCTACCGAAAGACGGGAAACAAGCTGTGTGTCTCCTGAACCATAAACATAGTGTTGAAACCTACAGCGGTGGATGTAGACACGTGTGGTAACGTGTGGATCGGGTGTTATAGCGGTACCGTACACGTGATGGGACTGTAACATGAGGAAATTGTGATATACGGTACATTTGTGCTCGTGGTACAATACATTGTAGATCACCGATGTATGAAGTCTGAAGTATCCTCAAATAAACAGTGAGTGCATTTTTATGACCGTGGTAATCAGACAATCACAAGTAACTAGAATGTTTAATGACAACCGACATCACATGGTGAACGAATAATAAATTATAAGTGAGATGTATCCAAGATTTTGTTGTGTATATGTGTGTTGTTGTTTGTTTAGGTTCTTTTCATTTGGATTAATTTCATTTCATCTTAGGAGGGAGAGATTGAGAGAGAGATATATATATTGAAAGAGAGAGATATTCAAGGAGAGAGAGAGATTGAAAGAGAGAGATATACAAGGAGAGAGAGAACAATTTAGATAGACAGAGTGGGAAACAAACACAATATCAAGATTTTTGAGTGTTGTGTATAAAACATATCTAAATGGTTTGTTTCTCGGAAAAAATGTTTCTTAATTACCTTAACCTCCAAATACATATAATTAAATGGGTTTAGATAAGGGCATATATTTAGGCAAACAAAATAATATTGTTTATTACCGGTAACCTACCCTAATAGTTTGTGCCTACGCTTAAATCTTTTTTATGTGTTTATTTTTTTACAAATTTCAAGGAAGCACTGTTAAAGTAAAAATATCTCTTCTAAATAAATCTTTTTTTAAATGAAATATGAATCTAATTACCTACCTTAATTGTTCAGACATGTAACAGGAAATAGACATGTCTTTTAGGCATTTTTCTGTTCATGTATTGATATATCAACTATTATGACTATTTAACAACTGTTAATTAAAGTTTCTTACACAAATGTTTACAAATTGTAATTAACAGGTAACTGTAAGGTAATACAGGTTCAGTTGTTGTATACCTTGTACTATTGAAATGTAGCAAGAATAACCGATACTTTTTTTAAATTTGTATTTACATTGTTGTAACCTATAAATAGACATATATAGATATATAACTCTAAATCAAAGCTTTTCATTGTATAACTGTTGTGTATTTGTTTGTTTGCGGTATATATAAGTATCTGGACATTTGATTATTAGCTTGCTTCTTCATGTGGTATTTTGTTTCCAGAGGGATCTCTTCTATTGTTAATTCCTTTTCTGTCATAATCAGTTATTTTTTTTTTTATTTTAAAAAAGTAATATTTTATATTTCAACAAAAACAAGATTTTCTTCTGTAAATCAACAAAAAAAGTTATTTCAGAGCAGAAAATTCGGTGAAGCTTAGTTATTGCCTTCAACGAGACTTCCATCCCATCTACATGTATATAAACCACAATCGGTGGAATGGCAATTTTACCTTTGTTGATATTAGCACCGTAAATGTCTTACTATACTTCCCATACATTAAGATAGGTTTCATTAACCTAGTGATAAATTATCAGGCCCCTGTGACCTGGCTTAATAAGGACAGGTCAAAACAGACGTACAGTGATAAATTATCAGGCCCCTGGGACCTAGCTTACTAGAGTAACACATGATCAGGAAAGGTTCAAACTTACTTTCAGTTATACATGATCAGGTCCCTGTGAACAGACTTATTAGAGTTACAAATGCTGTGATAAATTATCAGGTCTCTGTGAACAGGCTTGTTAACATACCTAGTGATAAATTATCAGGTCCCTGTGAACAGTCTTATAAGTGTAACATAAAAATGTAACAGAGGTCATTTTTTTCTTAATGCCTCCGCTAGAATTATGGCTTACTATTGTTACGCTCTACTGAATGAGCTAAAGAGATATTCTTCCCAGTCGAGCCGGTAGGAAGCGGCTAGTATATAACCAGGGTGACATAGTAGAGTAACATATGGCCAGGATTCAAACATGCATACAGTGATAAATTCTCAGGTCCCTGTGACTAGGCTTACTAGAGCTACATATGACAAGGATAGGTTAAAACATACCGAGTGATAAATTCTCAGGTCCCTGTGAACAGACTTATTAGAGTAACATATGGTCAGGATAGGTTCAAACATACCTACAAAAATAAATTATCAGGTCCCTGTGAACAGGTTTATTATTGTAAATATAAACAGGATAGGTTCAAACATACTTAAGGTGACAAGTTATCAGGTCCCTGTGAACAGGCTTATTATAATAGCATTTGACAAGGATAGGTTCAAACATACTTAAAATCCGCAGGTCCCTGTGACCCGGCTTATTAGAATAATATAAGATCAGGATAGGTTCAAACATACTTACAGTGATGAATCCCCAGGTCCCTGTGAAGGTTCCGGCGATTAACAGGATCGGACTACTCTATGGTCGAATAATATGATGTGAGATTACAAAATTAAAATTTCCATATGTTTTAATTTCAACAAAGAATTTTATCATGTTTAACTTATTTGAAAGCCATCTGCTACGATGATACATTGTGTATACTGTTGTTATGATATAACTAGGTATCAACAAAGTATCACCGCTTTGCTCAGGTCTCGGGAGTGTGGACCCTGCTTTCAAGGAGACCGATTTTAATTTTTTTATGAGAAAATGGTATATTATCAATACATCTCCATTTTTTGCAAGGCCTATTGTGCCTATTAATCCATAAAAATCTGTAATTTTTATTCCAGCATAATTTCATTTTTTTCAAATCTAATATTTCTAAACATCGAAATTATAAAGCGGACATTGTAATATATTAACACACACACAAAAACAGCACGGAAACGCTACAAGTTCACACTTAGTGTACATTACATATGCATAGGTGTGTAGTGAGTGTGATGGGGGTGGGGCACAGAGAAGGAGACACTAGACCTCCTGGAATCTCAGTATGCACCAATAATTGGCAGGGTCAGTAGTAACCCACCCAGGTACAGCCTCCCTTGGTTCCTTGGACCCTATATATTGTTAAAACATAATGTAACTTGCCTATCTTGCCCCCAAAAGACGTATTGTCATTAGTGGGTATGCTACTTGCATTGTGAGACATTTTGACCTTGATGGGTGTGTTACTAAACATTAGAGACATGTCGTCCTTGGTGAGTGTGTTACCTACAGTTAGAGACATGACGTCCATGGTGGGTGTGCTACTTACCATTAGAGACATGACGTCCTTGGTGGGTGTGCTACTTACCATTAGAGATATGTCGTCCTGGGTGGGTGTGTTACTTACCATTAGAGCCATGACGTCCTTGGTGGGTGTGCTTCTTACCATTAGAGACATGACGTCCTTTAGGGTGTGTTACTTACCGTTAGAGACATGTCGTCCTTGGTGGGTGTGCTACTTACCGTTAGAGACATGACGTCCTTGGTGGGTGTTTTACTTACCATTAGAGACATGACGTCCTTGGTTGGTGTGTTACTTACGACTAGAGATATATCGTCCTGGGTGGGTGTGCTACTTACCATTAGAGACAAGCCGTCCTTGGTTGGTGTGCTTCTTACCATTAGAGACATGACGTCCTTAGTGGGTGTGCTACTTACCATTAGAGGCATGACGTCCTTGGTTGGTGTGCTACTTACCATAAGAGACATGACGTCCTTGGTGGGTGTGTTTCTTACTATTAGAGACATGACGTCCTTGGTGGGTGTGTTACTTACCATTAGAGACATAACGTCCTTGGTGGGTGTGTTACTTACAGTTAGAGACACGTCGTCCTTGGTGAGTGTGCTACTTACCGCTACTTACCATTAGAGATATATCGTCCTGGGTGGGTGTGCTACTTACCATTAGAGATATATCGTCCTGGGTGGGTGTGTTACTTACCATTAGAGACATAACGTCCTTGGTGGGTGTGTTACTTACAGTTAGAGACACGTCGTCCTTGGTGAGTATGCTACTTACCGTTAGAGACATGTCGTCCTTGGTGAGTGTGTTACTTACCATTAGAGACATGACGTCCTTGGTGAGTGTGTTACTTACCATTAGAGACATGACGTCCTTTAGGGTGTGTTACTTACCGTTAGAGACATGTCGTCCTTGGTGGGTGTGTTACTTACCATTAGAGACATGACGTCCTTGGTGGGTGTGTTACTTACCATTAGAGACATGACGTCCTTGGTGGGTGTGTTACTTACCATTAGAGACATGACGTCCTTGGTGGGTGTGTTACTTACCATTAGAGACATGACGTCCTTGGTGGGTGTGTTACTTACCATTAGAGACATGACGTCCTTGGTGGGTGTGTTACTTACCATTAGAGACATGACGTCCTTGGTGGGTGTGTTACTTACCATTAGAGACATGACGTCCTTGGTGGGTGTGTTACTTACCATTAGAGACATGACGTCCTTGGTGGGTGTGTTACTTACCATTAGAGACATGACGTCCTTGGTGGGTGTGTTACTTACCATTAGAGACATGACGTCCTTGGTGGGTGTGTTACTTACCATTAGAGACATGACGTCCTTGGTGGGTGTGTTACTTACCATTAGAGACATGACGTCCTTGGTGGGTGTGTTACTTACCATTAGAGACATGACGTCCTTGGTGGGTGTGTTACTTACCATTAGAGACATGACGTCCTTGGTGGGTGTGTTACTTACCATTAGAGACATGACGTCCTTGGTGGGTGTGTTACTTACCATTAGAGACATGACGTCCTTGGTGGGTGTGTTACTTACCATTAGAGACATGACGTCCTTGGTGGGTGTGTTACTTACCATTAGAGACATGACGTCCTTGGTGGGTGTGTTACTTACCATTAGAGACATGACGTCCTTGGTGGGTGTGTTACTTACCATTAGAGACATGACGTCCTTGGTGGGTGTGTTACTTACCATTAGAGACATGACGTCCTTGGTGGGTGTGTTACTTACCATTAGAGACATGACGTCCTTGGTGGGTGTGTTACTTACCATTAGAGACATGACGTCCTTGGTGGGTGTGTTACTTACCATTAGAGACATGACGTCCTTGGTGGGTGTGTTACTTACCATTAGAGACATGACGTCCTTGGTGGGTGTGTTACTTACCATTAGAGACATGACGTCCTTGGTGGGTGTGTTACTTACCATTAGAGACATGACGTCCTTGGTGGGTGTGTTACTTACCATTAGAGACATGACGTCCTTGGTGGGTGTGTTACTTACCATTAGAGACATGACGTCCTTGGTGGGTGTGTTACTTACCATTAGAGACATGACGTCCTTGGTGGGTGTGTTACTTACCATTAGAGACATGACGTCCTTGGTGGGTGTGTTACTTACCATTAGAGACATGACGTCCTTGGTGGGTGTGTTACTTACCATTAGAGACATGACGTCCTTGGTGGGTGTGTTACTTACCATTAGAGACATGACGTCCTTGGTGGGTGTGTTACTTACCATTAGAGACATGACGTCCTTGGTGGGTGTGTTACTTACCATTAGAGACATGACGTCCTTGGTGGGTGTGTTACTTACCATTAGAGACATGACGTCCTTGGTGGGTGTGTTACTTACCATTAGAGACATGACGTCCTTGGTGGGTGTGTTACTTACCATTAGAGACATGACGTCCTTGGTGGGTGTGTTACTTACCATTAGAGACATGACGTCCTTGGTGGGTGTGTTACTTACCATTAGAGACATGACGTCCTTGGTGGGTGTGTTACTTACCATTAGAGACATGACGTCCTTGGTGGGTGTGTTACTTACCATTAGAGACATGACGTCCTTGGTGGGTGTGTTACTTACCATTAGAGACATGACGTCCTTGGTGGGTGTGTTACTTACCATTAGAGACATGACGTCCTTGGTGGGTGTGTTACTTACCATTAGAGACATGACGTCCTTGGTGGGTGTGTTACTTACCATTAGAGACATGACGTCCTTGGTGGGTGTGTTACTTACCATTAGAGACATGACGTCCTTGGTGGGTGTGTTACTTACCATTAGAGACATGACGTCCTTGGTGGGTGTGTTACTTACCATTAGAGACATGACGTCCTTGGTGGGTGTGTTACTTACCATTAGAGACATGACGTCCTTGGTGGGTGTGTTACTTACCATTAGAGACATGACGTCCTTGGTGGGTGTGTTACTTACCATTAGAGACATGACGTCCTTGGTGGGTGTGTTACTTACCATTAGAGACATGACGTCCTTGGTGGGTGTGTTACTTACCATTAGAGACATGACGTCCTTGGTGGGTGTGTTACTTACCATTAGAGACATGACGTCCTTGGTGGGTGTGTTACTTACCATTAGAGACATGACGTCCTTGGTGGGTGTGTTACTTACCATTAGAGACATGACGTCCTTGGTGGGTGTGTTACTTACCATTAGAGACATGACGTCCTTGGTGGGTGTGTTACTTACCATTAGAGACATGACGTCCTTGGTGGGTGTGTTACTTACCATTAGAGACATGACGTCCTTGGTGGGTGTGTTACTTACCATTAGAGACATGACGTCCTTGGTGGGTGTGTTACTTACCATTAGAGACATGACGTCCTTGGTGGGTGTGTTACTTACCATTAGAGACATGACGTCCTTGGTGGGTGTGTTACTTACCATTAGAGACATGACGTCCTGGGTGGGTGTATTACTTACCATTAGAGACATGACGTCCTTGGTGGGTGTGCTACTTACCATTAGAGACATGACGTCCTGGGTTGGTGTGCTACTTACCATTGAATATTGTATTAAGAGTTTCTACACTTGGATCCAAAATACCATTCACAGTGGGGGAAATGGACTTTATTGACCTACCTGTTGCTGTTGCAGCTACATGCATGGTCCATGCTGAACAGAACGACTTATTTCAGTCTCTTACAGCTTCGTTAAGTAAAAGACTAAAAATAATATTAAGTCTATCATGCTGTTGTTCTTTCTGGTAGAATTCTTCATTTTGAACAGTCTATATAAAGTTATTACCCGGATTTCAGTTGCTAAGAGCTCGTTTCCCTGACTGGCCATTAAAATTGAATTGAACATACAGCTCCCATCCTCTCTCCCTGCAACACGAGTTATATCTGTACTGTCCCCTAGCAACTTTGATGCTGACTTATCTACCAGCATAATGTCATTGACGTTGTATTTTTGTGCTCTCTTAAATTTGCTTTGCGACCTCATACAAATTTGCTCAAGAGCCGTCGCTTCGCCTAAGTCCCCGGCAGCAGCAGCATTGCATAATCTATCTAGAGCTGCTCGGAAATTGTAAGATTTATCACTGTTACAACAACATTGCAAACAAAAGTAGGAAAGTGAACATTTCCGTAGAAATCTGAACTGCGGCTGATTCAAATTTTCGTATTTATAATGAAATGATTTTTTTTACAAAAGTGACCTAGACAGATATGTAATATAAAACTAGCCTAGACAGATATGTAACATAACACTAACCTAGACAGATATGTAATATAAAACTAGCCTAGACAGATATGTAACATAACACTAACCTAGACAGATATGTAATATAAAACTAGCCTAGACAGATATGTAACATAACACTAACCTAGACAGATATGTAATATAAAACTAGCCTAGACAGATATGTAACATAACACTAACCTAGACAGATATGTAATATAAAACTAGCCTAGACAGATATGTAATATAACACCAGCCTAGACAGATATGTAATATAACTCTAGCCTAGACAGATATGTAATATAAAACTAGCCTAGACAGATATGTAATATAAAACTAGCCTAGACAGATATGTAATATAAAACTAGCCTAGACATATATGTAATATAACACTAGCCTAGACAGATATGTAATATAACACTAGCCTAGACAGATATGTATTATAACACTAGCCTAGACAGATATTTAATATAACACTAGCCTAGACAGATATGTTATATAACACTAACCTAGACAGATATGTAATATATCACTAGCCTAGACAGAAATGTAATATAACACTAGCCTAGACAGATAAGTATTATAACACTAGCCTAGACAGATATGTTATATAACACTAACCTAGACAGATATGTAATATAAAACTAGCCTAGACATATATGTAATATAACCCTAGCCTAGACAGATATGTAATATAACACCAGCCTAGACAGATATGTAATATAACTCTAGCCTAGACAGATATGTAATATAAAGCTAGCCTAGACAGATATGTAATATAAAACTAGCCTAGACAGATATGTAACATAACACTAACCTAGACAGATATGTAATATATCACTAGCCTAGACAGAAATGTAATATAACACTAGCCTAGACAGATAAGTATTATAACACTAGCCTAGACAGATATGTAATATAACTCTAGCCTAGACATATATGTAATATAACACTTTCCTAGACAGATATGTAATATAACACTAGCCTAGACAGATAAGTATTATAACACTAGCCTAGACAGATATGTATTATAACACTAGCCTAGACAGATATGTTATATAACACTAACCTAGACAGATATGTAATATAACACTAGCCTAGACAGAAATGTAATATAACACTAGCCTAGACAGAAATGTAATATTACACTAGCCTAGACAGAAATGTAATATAACACTAGCCTAGACAGATATGTATTATAACACTAGCCTAGACAGATATGTATTATAACACTAGCCTAGACAGATATGTATTGTAACACTAGCCTAGACAGATATATATTATAGACAGATATTTAATATAAAACTAACTTTAATCAGAGACGTACATGTAGATATATACGTCTCTATTCTATTAATTAAACAGAAATATGCAACTAAATTAAATGTTGCAGAAATGAAATATAACACTAACTTAGACAGAAATGAAATATAAAACTCAAATTTGACCGAAATGAAATATAAAACTAACCTAGACAGAAATGAAATAAAAATACAACTAACTTAAATTTGACAGAAGAAGGAAAGATAACTCTTATAAAAGAAAAGAACATCGGAGCTCTTTTAAATCAAAGGTAAATACTGGCTCCGTTCGTCCGTCTGAACTGTGTGAAGCTAGGCTAACTGGACGATCAAGAGAGATCATGAGTTGGAAGATTGTGACAGGTTATGGTGTGTTCGGTGCCGCCATCTGCAGCTGTACTGCTAAAACGTTGTTGGATACGAATGACGCGAAAGTCCGTGAAGGTGTTGCGTCAGATCAAAACACTGAGCAGGCATTGCGTAACACGTTGACATTGAAGCAAGCCCAGGTTTTCTTCAGACACGGTGCTCGAACAACCATACACACCATCCCCAAATTAGCCGAGGTGATGTCACACTTATTTTAGACAGCTGTATAGTCGTATCGTTTTCGTGTATAAAGTATCAGGCAGATTTAGATATATCGGAAAGATACATTTTGCGTGACAGATCCGGGTAGAAACAATACATAGCACGTATAGTCGATTCAAACTACACTACACGTAGACTCCTGTCAGCTTCCTGGTAGACCCGGAATACTATTAGTTACACGGATTTTTGGCAGGGTATACGGGATGGTATGACCCTAAAGGGTTTCGTATTTCCTGAGGCCGATAGGCCGAAGGAAATACGAAATCCTGTAGGGTCATACCATCCTGTATACCCTGCCAAAAATCCGTGTAACAAATTTATTACCCCTTTGAGTCGTTTATATTGGTTTTGTACAGTTCCCCGTCAACTTTTCTGATGGCTCATTTAGTTTCGTTTGATCAAATTCCTCGAACTGTTCTTCCTGATTCTTTTCTTTTAAATATGTCCTCAGCATGTTTGCCGCTCGTCTGTTTGACTTTTGTGTGTTTTGTGGCACATAGTTAGCCCTTTTGGCGAGTATTTCCTCATCAGTATGCGAAGCGAAACGTTTTGTCATTTGGTAAATATCGCCGGAAGCAGACGACGAATGTGAGTTGTCTCCCATTGCCCGGCCGCAAGATACAAAGACACGTGACCCGTATACCCCTTGTAAAAGCACGTGATTCCACCGTATTACTGCTGGGAATCATGTGACATGACCGTATACCCCCTGAGATTTTCGTATACCCCTTGAGATTTACAAATGCGGTTTGGTACACTGTAGTTTCTAACCAATCAGATTCCTAGATTTTTCTCCTACGGGTAATAAACTTATGTACACACTATCGTGAGTGTATACAGTACCGTACTTACAGACACAAAAAGACAATCTCAGAACTCTGCGGTGAATGTTGTACTCAAAATGCTGAATTCATGTAGAGCGCATTGTTAGCTTTCATATAGCTGCGATAACGTAGCTTTCTGAAGATTGATTGATAGATTTGACATCCGCTTCACTACCGAGTAGTTCGGTTACCAGCAGACAGAGACTTTCTGACAACGAGAGATTTGTTTATATACTGCATCAACTTGACAACATGGGATGATGGGGATCAATTCAGATTTCAATTGCACTTGCTATGTTAACTTGAAGGACATTTTAGGCAGAGTTTAACTTCAAGTTATACAGGAATCAACAGAAATAATTCATACTACAACCCTATTTATGAATGCAGACCAATTCTAAAATCGCCCCAGTGTGAATCCATTTCAAGGCACAGGATCAATTTAATACCCGGTCGGGGCAGAGGAGGCCGGGTAATAAAATTAGTACTAGCTTTCATACCATTCAGTCCGAGTTTCCTCTGTCCCTGACACCAGAGTTAACCCTTTCACCACTGTATACCATAATGGACTCAACCAGATCAATGCATAGTAGAGTTTACTAAAGTTGCATAGGGGTGAAAGGGTTAAGACATTTTGAAAGATAGGTGACTGGTTTCAAATGTTTATGTCTGGTGTCGGGACCAGAGGAAACTCAGACTAACCGTATTTACATTGCATTTGATTTTAAGAAAAGGTTTTATTAACTTCATTAGAAGAACCTTGAGATATTTATGTAGGTTTTTGTTTCAGGTGGCAGAGTCTTTCTGAACATTGTTTTCAAAATATTGACTTTCTCATTACTAAGCAATATTTGGGTTTTCAAAATGTGAGTGAGTCCCACCTGATCAGATATAGGGCTCAAATATCTGTGTTCAAAAGGAGCTGTAATATCTGGTACAATTACCAAAACAGCTGAGTAGATCTACTCTGTAATGTTTGTACCCATAATGAACAACAACCCATGTGGAGTATAAAATGGTCTGGGGTGGATGTTGCGGTATCTGTGCTGTAGCATTCAAGTGAGGTGGCACTTTTAAAGAAACTGTTGGAAGCACGGTCCTACTACAAAAACAGAACACAATACATCTCCAGCACAAAAGCAGGCATACACACATAAGGAGATATTAGCCAGGTGGTATAGGACTGGTAGTTAGCACCTGATAGGCAGCTCCTGTGAATTGCTCAAAAAAATGAATTAATTAATGTATATGCTAATTGTATTAACTGTATATCTATGTACTGTAAAGCGCTTTAGAGTGGCTTATGTTAGCTAGATAGGGCGCTATATCAAATGTTGTATATATATTATTATTATAATTTTGTTATATAATAACTGGTAATTTATATGTTTTATAAATTCCAGGCTAACTATGATGCCAAGATATTCATGCATCCCCTCCCTCACACACTGTTTGACCTTGACATGGTTGACCTTGCAACCGGAGGACCAAAGACGAAATCACGCCTCGATGAACACTACGCAAAAAAGAAATTGTTGGTAAATACAAATCTTCCAAACCATGTAACAAGATCAATGTTGGACCTTCTGGTCCATTTGCTGGCATTGCAGCTGGAAAGTTTGCTTTTTATACTAAAGTTTAGCAATATATTGAAAGTATCTAAATCTTGTCCATAAGGAAACAGCCCTTTATGATAGAATTGTCATGTTGTTTTAGTTGGAATTTAAATGTGGATTTTTTTGTGTTAGGTTGGGCTTAAAACGATTGAACTGTAGCTTAACCACAGACTATAAGACTCGCACAACTAAATTTACTATATATTATTACTAAGCTTTTGAGCAGAAAGCGTTAATATTTGAATATTAACGCTAGTGACAACTTTCTAGATTAATATATACACACCTGACAAAGGAATATAAAGACAGCTACAGGCTTCTGCTTTTGACAACTAGAAGTTTGCTAGCTGAACTGGTGAAGTGGGACGGGAACACCCCATATAAATCCACCATGACATATTAAAATCAACAAAGACTATACATTTTTCCAAAGTTAAATATCTGTAGATTTCATTCAATAAAAAACATGTCAATATTTACACCTTAAATTAATTGTTGTTTTTAACTGGAACACATTTTAGGTAGGGATTACAATTGTATAAAAACACTTGCTGATTGGCCGATCTAGTTGTGCAAGTTCTTAATCACATATTATAACAAATCGTGCATATCCAGTTAAAAAACATGCAAACAAATGCTGATGTGTGATGGAAATGAAAAATCAGTAATTATACAATTGACAGGGAGGCTGTGTTATATAGACCTGATAAATCAGTAATTATACAATTGACAGGGACGCTGTGTTATAGACTTGATAAATCAGTAATTATACAATTGACAGGGAGGATGTGATATTGACTTGATAAATCAGTCATTATACAATTGACAGGGAGGCTGTGTTAAAGACCTGATAAATCAGTAATTAAACAATTAACGGGGAGGCTGTGTTCTAGACCTGATACATCAGTAATTATACAATTGACAGGGAGGCTGTGTTATAGACCTGATAAATCAGTAATTATACAATTGACAGGGAGGCTCTGTGTTATAGACTAGATAAATCAGTAATTATACAATTGACAGGGAGGCTGTGTTATAGACTAGATAAATCAGCAATTATACAATTGACAGGGAGGCTCTGTGTTATAGACTAGATAAATCAGTAATTATACAATTGACAGGGAGGCTGTGTTATAGACTAGATAAATCAGCAATAATACAATTGACAGGGAGGCTCTGTGTTATAGACTAGATAAATCAGAAATTATACAATTGACAGGGAGGATGTGTTATAGACCTGATAAATCAGTTATTATACAATTGACAGGGAGGCTGTGTTATAGACTAGATAAATCAGTCATTATACAATTGACAGGGAGGCTGTATTATAGACCTGATAAATCAGTAATTATACAATTGACAGGGAGGCTGTGTTATAGACCTGAAAAATCAGTAATTATACAATTGATAGGGAGGCTGTGTTATAGACCTGAAAAATCAGTAATTATACAATTGATAGGAAGGCTGTGTTATAGACCTGATAAATCAGTAATTATACAATTGACAGGGAGGCACTGTGTTATAGAACTGATAAATCAGTAATTATATAATTGACAGGGAGGCTGTGTTATAGACTTGATAAATCAGTAATTATACAATTGACAGGGAGGCTGTGTTATAGACCTGATAAATCAGTAATTATACAATTGACAGGGAGGCTGTGTTATAGACCTGATAAATCAGTAATTATACAATTGACAGGGAGGCTGTGTTATAGACCTGATAAATCAGTAATTATACAATTGACAGGGAGGATGTGTTATAGACCTGATAAATCAGTAATTATACAATTGACAGGGAGGCTGTGTTATAGACTAGATAAATCAGTAATTATACAATTGACAGGGAGGCTCTGTGGCCGGACAGCTGACCACCCTAGGACAACAACAGTGTTTCATGCTGGGACAGAAACTTAAGCAGGACTACATAGAAGGCGCCAACCTCATCACCGAGGATTACGATCCCAACACAGTTTTGTATGTTATCTTTATTGCTCAGACCAAATAAAAAAAATCCTGCGTTTCAGCTTACCCTAGCTACCCTAAAGTTGTTATTGGCATTTAGTGATATGCACAGTTAAAGTTTGAATTTCTGCTATGTACAAGCATGGTTAAAAATATTTTCCAAAAATGAAACAAATAATCTACCTATAGCCACCCTTACTTTTTCTGAGGATGACAAAATAAAACATGGATGAACTTCTGAACAAATGCATCTGAGAACAGATATAGTGAAAGAGAAACAATCGGTGAAGAAATATAGGATCCAGCTTCATGAATGCGTTTCCTACATCAGCATTTTATATATATACTGTGGTATGTGTAGCACAACATGTCTTTCCAAGCCCTTTGTATCACAATATGTTACCCAACTTCAGCACTTACCAACCTTACTTTAATTTCGTTTCAGTGGGCGATCGACAAACATCAAAAGAACCATAGAAAGTTTACGATGTGTCATGGCAGGGATGTTTGGGGTTTCAAATCTACAGAAAATTGGTAATTATTGATTTTAAACATTTTGTGGATGTCTACCTTTGTTTATTACATCTCATGTGATTGTTTACACTGTACATGTCTTTATCTATCTTTCACATCTCTATATACATATACTGTATACAGGGACATGTCTTTATCTATCTTTTACATCTCTGTATACATATACTGTATACAGGAACATGTCTTTATCTATCTTTTACATCTGTATACATATACTGTATACAGGGACATGTCTTTATCTATCTTTTACATCTCTGCATACATATACTGTATACAGGGACATGTCTTTATCAATCTTTTACATCTCTATATACATATACTGTATACAGGGACGCGTCTTTATCTATCTTTTACATCTCTATATACATATACTGTATATAGAGACATGTCTTTATCTATCTTTTACATTTCCTGTGAAGGTGCATATTTCTGACCAACAGAGCGAGGTGTTATTAACCGTGTCTGACTTTATCTGTTACAGCTCCTGTGAAGGTGTATATTTCTGACCAACAGAGCGAGGTGTTATTTCCCAACCTACATAACTGCCATGTACTAACACAAAACAATCACTCAGTGCTGTTCCACATGGGCGATAAGCCTGAATATCAGCCAGAAAGACTCAAGCTAGAGAAAGCGTTCGGTAAGTCAGGACGGTGAAAATAAACATTCAGGAGAATTCACACAAATAATTTGTTACAGCTATATTTGGAACTAAACTAAGATATTCAGAGTAATTTTATACGTTTTAGGTATTTAGTTTTTTGCAGTCATAGAACCGCTTTTTCCATATTCATGAAGTTGACATCAGCCTCATGCCAAAACATATCAATACTGAGATGAATTCATATTGCAGGTGCCAAAAGACTCAGTTGCTATTTATAGGTTAACCCATCAACAGATATATAATTTATTTACATGAAGATCTGAAATGTAATAGTTATACTCGATTCATACTACTGTTGCTGCCTCCAGGGTCTTGTCTGCTGGATGGAGTCCTTGGACAGTAACATGGGAACAGTTAGGATCTCCTCCCTATAGCCATGGTTATATACATAGAGCAGAAACATGAAGCGTCCTTGGTCCTTGAGATCTGGGAGTCAACTTTTCCATTATGAAGGAAAAGTGTTGTTCTTGTGGGAAGGGGGATATCTGGATCTGTGCTTGATTGATGCAACGTGTTTATTTTACCATCTATTTTTCAGGCGTAAATTTCAAAGATCATGTAGGATTAAATTTCGTGGGTATGCGTGACGACTTAGTAGCACGTAAGGTAAGTTTTCAGTAGTTTTTTAGATTGCCTGGTCTTATACCTTCACAAAGATCTGTCAATCTACTTTAGTTTGTAGCATGATATAATCCTTACATAAATAAATCTATCACCAATACAAAATGATAAAACAGTGCACATCCCCCTTATTAATGATAACAATCTGCAAAATGTTAATGATGCTTTGGTAATTTTGGATTGTAAGGTATTCCTGTGTGTGTTGTCCAACGTTTGATTATCTCCCATTGTGTGATGTCCAATGTTTGATTATCTCCCCTTGTGTGTTGTTCAATGTTTGTTAATCTCCCCTAGTGTAGTGTTCAATATTTGTTAATCTCCCCTTGTGTGGTGTCCAATGCTTGATTATCTCCCCTTGTAAGGCGCCTGTTTTATTATCTCCCCTTGTGTGGTGTTCAATGTTTGATTATCTCCCCTTGTGTGGTGCCCAATTTTTGATTAGCTACCCTTGTAAGGTGCCTGTTGTTTTATTATCTCCCCTTTTGTGGTGCCCATTGTTTGATTATCTACCCTTGTGTGGTGTCCAATGTTTGATTATTTCCCCTAGTGTAGTGTTCAATATTTGTTAATCTACCCTTGTGTGGTGTCCAATGCTTGATTATCTCCCCTTGTGTGGTGTCCAATGCTTGATTATCTCCCCTTGTGTGGTGTCCAATGTTTAATATGCTTTTTGATTATTCCCTTGTCTGATATCCGTTGATTTTCTCTTATTGTGTGTTGAGGAAAGTTTGGTTATCTCCCTTTGTTCAATGTCGGGGTATTGTACATTGGGTAATGATGTGTGATGGCTGTTTGATTCATACATTATCCGTCCTTGTTGCTAGGCCCAGTGATGATAAATGATCTGTCCTTGTTGCTAGGCCCATGGTTTTCCTATACCTTCCCATGCTCTGCCGCTTTGGGACACAATAGAACTTATGGCCAGCAAGATGATATATGCTGCGTTTTGTGGACAGCACAAGTAAGTGATTTTATTGATATTTTTACGTTGATCAACAATCCTCAAAATATGAAAACTGATGAGTATAACCTGCATTAAAACCCTATTCTATACTTTGTCCCTGTCAGGTTTTTGTTAAGATCATTATGTATTGTTCTTGTAAAATTAACAAAACATTTGTGGCATATGTATAATCTAATTAAGATATAAATGCAAATAGGCAAAGGGAAGAAGCGACTCCTGGGTCTAGGTTTCAATACAGTTATGGAAACCGTGACTCTGGATTCAGGACGTGCTTCTCTCCTTTGCGTATATGCTTTTCTTCACCATAAGAGGTTGTATAGCACTAGGTATCTTCCTGAAACCTACAAACCTAGAAGGTGATTGTAAACATTCTTTGACTCTTATTGGACGCTGTTTCTTTACCTCTGCTTTATAAAGATGTTAAAATGCCACAGGTGATAAATTAACATCTGCATTTTAATCAGATTGGGCATATGTGTAGACTATTCCCCCCACATGAAGCTTGTATCTGTAAACTTGATAAGCTGTTAAAAATTGACAAATTAATGAACTTAGACTAAGTTTTTAGGCCTTTATTGTGTAAAATGAAAAAAAACATTTTTTTAGAGTTTCTGTTAGATAAAAATATGTTATTTGAACGCTTCTATTTAAAAATACAGTCTTTGTAAGTCAGCAACATGTTGACTTTCTGTACCATAAATGGTAATTAATAATAAATCTGTCGTGTTACAGGGCAGAGATGAATGTGGTCAAAATAAATCTGTCGTGTTACAAGGTGGAGAGGAATGTGGTCATAATTATTCTGTCATGTTACAGGGCGGAGTGGAATGTGGTCATAATTAATCTGTCGTGTTACAGGGCGGAGAGGAATGTGGTCATAATTAATCTGTCGTGTTACAGGGTGGAGAGGAATGTGGTCATAATTATTCTGTCGTATTACAGGGCGAAGAAGAATGTGGTCATAATTAATCTGTTGTGTTACAAGGTGGAGAGGAATGTGGTCATAATAAATCTGTTGTGTGTTACAGGGTGAAGAAGAATGTGGACATAATTAATCTGTCATGTTACAGGGTGGAGAGGAATGTGGTCATAATTAATCTGTCGTGTTACATGGCGGAGAGGAATGTTTTCATAATTAATCTGTCGTGTTACAGGGTGGAGAGGAATGGGGTCATAATTATTCTGTCGTATTACAGGGTGAAGAAGAATGTGGTCATAATTAATCTGTCGTGTTACAGGGTGGAGAGGAATGGGGTCATAATTATTCTGTCGTATTACAGGGGGAAGAAGAATGTGGTCATAATTAATCTGTTGTGTTACAAGGGGGAGAGGAATGTGGTCATAATAAATCTGTCATGTTACAGGGCGGAGAGGAATGTGGTCATAATTAATCTGTCATGTTACAGGGTGGAGAGGAATGTGGTCATAATTATTCTGTCGTATTACAGGGTGAAGAAGAATGTGGTCATAATTAATCTGTCGTGTTAAAGGGCGGAGAGGAATGTGGTCATAATAAATCTGTTGTGTTACAGGGCGGAGAGGAATGTGGTCATAATAAATCTGTCGTGTTACAGGGTGGAGAGGAATGTGGTCATAAATAATCTGTCATGTTACAGGGCGGAGAGGATTGTGGTCATAACTAATCTGTCGTGGTACAGGGCGGAGAGGAATGCGGTCATACACCATCTGTTGTGTGTTACAGGGCAGAGAGGAATGTGGTCATAAAAAATCTGTCGTGTTACAGGGTGGGGAGGAATGTGGTCATAATTACTCTGTCGTGTTACAGGGCGGATAGGAATGTGGTCATAATTAAACGGACATGTTACAGGGCGGAGAGGATTGTGGTCATAACTAATCTGTCCTGTTACAGGGCGGAGAGGAATGTGGTCATAACTAATCTGTCGTGTTACAGGGCGGAGAGGAATGTCGTCATAAATAATCTGTCATGTTACAGGGCGGAGAGGAATGTGGTCATAATTAATCTGTCGTGTTACAGGGCGGAGAGGAATGTGGTCATAATAAATCTGTTGTGTGTTACAGGGCAGAGAGGAATGTGGTCATAATAAATCTGTTGTGTGTTACAGGGCAGAGAGGAATGTGGTCATGAGACTGGCCACTGGACCACTAATGACCATGGTGATGGACAACATAGAGGACCTGGAGGAAAATAAGGGGTAATAAATATGTATATCTCCCTCAAACAGTGTTAATTTTTCCTGTAAATCTCCCCCCTCACAGCAAGCCTCGATAGCTGAATAAAACATAAAGGGAAAACAGCCCTTTTTGTGTTGCCTGCAACGTGAGGCGACATATAGGTATTACTTTGTTGGCGGCGTCATCGGTTGCCTTGTCCAAAACAATGTTTCTGTGCGATAACTTGAGCTCCCTTGGGTTGATTGAACTTCATACAGTGCTTCTGCTTCTCAGGTCCGAAAGTCAAAGGTCAAGGTCATTTACTGTAAATAGAAAATCTGTTTCTGTGCGATAACTTGAGTTGTTTTAGGTCGATCAAACTCAGACTTCATACAGTGCGAATAGTGCTTCCTTGGGATTGCTTTTCAGGTCGAAAGGTAAAGGTCACTGTTACTATAAATAGAAAATATGTTTCCATGTGATAACTTGAGTGCCTTAGGGTTGATTGAACTTAATCTTCATACAGTGCTTTCTTACCAATAGTGCTTGTTTGGGATTGCTTTTCAGGTCCAAAGGTCAATGTCACTGTTACTATAAATAGTTTTACGTTCTGGCAGGAAATTCTGATCCCTAGGGTATCAGTGGTATATAATTCTGATCCCTAGGGTATCAATGGTATATAATTCTGATCCCTAGGGTATCAATAGTATATAATTCTGATCCCTAGGGTATCAATAGTATATAATTCTGATCCCTAGGGTATCAATAGTATATAATTCTGTACCTAGGGTATCAATAGTATATAATTCTGATCCCTATAGGGTATTAATAGTATATAATTCTGTACCTAGGGTATCAATAGTATATAATTATGATCCCTAGGGTATCAATTGTATATAATTCAGTACCTAGGGTATCAAAAGTATATAATTATGATCCCTAGGGTATCAATAGTATATAATTCTGTACCTAGGGTATCAATAGTATATAATTCTGATCCCTAGGGTATCAATAGTATATAATTCTGATCCCTAGGGTATCAATTGTATATAATTCTGGTCCCTAGGGTATCAATAGTATATAATTCTGTACCTAGGGTATCAATAGTATATAATTCTG